CCCCCAATCCCCCTTCCATGGGTAAAAGTGCAAAACAGTATATAATTTGATTTTAGTACGGATGTTGTACAGTTTTAATAGAACCTGGAAGACAAAACCCCACACTCTTCTAATAATAGGCTGTTTTGGTAATGTATGACATTTAATGCATACGTCTTTGTCAAGAGCATCGATACTAATTATTTCATTCAACTGTTACGAATAGTAGTATCTCGATAGCCATAATGTGAATTGCATACATTAGTTGTTGCTAGGTAGGACAAACATCATGGCTTGTCCTACCTAACAACACGTAATATATACAATTTGCATTCTGACTATTGAAATACAATTATTTGTGCCAGGTGAATGAAATCATTAATATCGAGGCTCTTCACAAAGACGTATGCATTAAATTTGGGTACATTACATTACGAAATGGCTTGTATCAACCCATTCCGAGATGAAGTCTTCCCGAAATCAATATTCACATCTTTCATGATGCATGGGTGGAGAATGCAATGTCTAGACTATCATGACCATGTCTAGACTATTTCGAATTGTTTGGCAATTCTTCATTGTGTCCTCAACAGTATAGGTTTCGGAAATAAATCCGGCCGATATATTTATAGAGAATCTTGGATTGTTGAACATCATCCGGTGACTTGATACTGCAAAGTACCAAATATATCTTTTTCAGGACAACAGACTCAACATAGTTTACTATATTTAAACATACATTACATAGTTCAATCTGACTTGTACCTGAATACCTTCAAATTCGAAAATCAAAGGTTGAGAAAAAGTGCATCAGTATGTAAAGGTACATAAATCTAGTCACAAAATTGCTAATTGTTCGGATTGAAAGACACAAAGTATTTGCTACTATTCGAGATGAGAAGTGACCTAGGGGTGTTTCACAAAACTTGTCATCAGTGATGACAGTTTTTTATGCCTCAGTTACGAAGTAGCCGGAGGCATTATGTTTTCGGGCTGTCCGTCCGTCCGTCCGTCCCGTTCTCGTGATCGCGTTATCTGAAGAACCAATTGATGGATTCCTGCCAAACTTTGGTCATGTATGTATCTTGCAGAGCCAACGAACTGATTAGATTTTGGGGTCACGAGGTCAAAGGTCAAAGGTCACAAGGCTCATTATGTAGGCAAAAACAGCTCGTGATCGCGTTATCTCAAGAACCGATTGATGGATTCCTGCCAAACTTAGGTAATGTATGTTACTTGCAGAGCCGATGAACTGATTAGATTTTGGGGGTCACGAGGTCAAAGGTCAAAGGTCACGAGGCTCATTATGTATGCAAAAATAGCTTATGATCGTATTATCATTAGAACAGATTGATGGATTCCTGCCAAACTTGGATCACGTATGTATCTTGCAGAGCCAATGAACTGAGTAGATTTTAGGGTCATGAGGTCAAAGATCAAAGGGTCATATATGTATATGAGAAATTGCTTGTAATCACGATATTCTGAGAACCTGTTAATGGATTACAATGAAACTGAATTTGAAAAATTTCTTCTGTTTTGGTTTTTAAACTTGCTCTATGACGGAGGCATCATTTTCGACTGCGCGCAGTCGAAGTTCCATCTAGTTTTTATAAGCTAGTGAAATCCTTGCTTCTGATCGCTTTAATATCAGCAGAATGGTCACTGATTTTTGTCATTTGTCATTGAAAAAAGGCTTTGCGAAACGGGTCCATGCAATTGCGCCAAACCAAAATATGTTATGTTGTTTGTTTGTTTTATTTCCACTTTTTCATATCAATACAAAGAAACATACAAATGAATATAATGAATAACATGTAAGTTTGACAAAGTTTGTTTCTAGTTTAAATAAAAGTTTCATACTGTTACAAAAGGAAAAAGCAGGAGACCACATGTCGTAAGCGTAAATGCTTGAACATGACCGTGGCCTCTGCCGAGTTAACAAAATAAAAAGAACAACCCATGCAACTGCATTGTATTCAATGTTAAATAAGATATAAGTGAAGTGATTAAAAGTGAGCATGGCTGATTTAATTTTGAGTGAAAATAACAAAACAAATTTAGTGAAATATTTCGTGTTGAGAAGTGCATTTGTGCAAGGTGCAAAAAATTTAGCTTGGTGGAACAAAAAGAGACTAATACCGTGATATTTAATTGTGTGTTGGTTTCAGTTACGGGTGATAATATTAAAATGTATGCAGGGTCCATTTCTGTTGACAAAGACAAAACAATTCAAGACATAACAAATTAGATAATTTTTAAATTTCTATGTTATAAGATCTAGTAAACTATACTGAGTTAACAAATATGCTTTCATATAAGCTTTAAAAGAATAAAGGGAGGTCCTAGTTTTAATATGGTTCGGTAAGTTATTCCAAATATCTGGTCCATGGTGTCTAATTGATCGTAGGGCTAAACTAAGTTTGGGATTATTAAGATGGTAATCATGAGCATGTCGAGTTAAATATGAGTGTACGTTTACATTTAATAAATAAAAGTTTAAGAAAGATGCTGGAAGAGTTTTGGAAGTGTACTTATACATAAAAATGGCAGTTTGGAGCGTATGTATATCATAAACCTTTAATGTTTTTAATTGACTAAATAACGGGTTCGAATTTGCAAGATAGTTAGAGTGTGTACAAATACGAATTGCTCTCTTCTGCAAAAGAAATATTGAGTTTATTTTAGTTTTACTACAGTTTGCCCATATAATATTACAATATGTTATATATGGTAAAATTAAAGTATTATAAAGCATAAACAAAGATCTATCATTTATCAAACATTTCATTTTATACAAAATACCAATATTCCGGGATATCAAAATATTTATGTTATGAATGTGTTCGTTCCAAGACAAATTTGAGTCAATAATAACTCCTAAAAATTTCGTTGATTGTTTTTCTACCAGGGATAAACCATCTATAAACAAATTACATTGTGGTTGGTCTTGGGAGTTAATAGTTCTAAAACGGATAAAATTAGTTTTACTTATATTTAAGGATAATTTATTACATTTAAACCATATTGAAATATTACACAAATCATGATTTACAGTATCAACGAGTGTATCAATATTTTTGTGTGAGTAAAGTATATTTGTATCGTCGGCAAAAAGAATGTAAGTTAGAATATTTGATGATTTTATTATATCATTTACATAAATCAAAAATAAGAGCGGGCCTAAGATGGAGCCTTGAGGAACTCCACATGTGAGGTTCAATTTTGAGGAACTATTAGAATGATAATAAACATACTGTGTTCTATTTTTAAGATAGTCCTCAAACCAGGATAGAGCAAGGCCTCTGATACCATAGTGTTCTAGTTTATGAAGTAAGATTGTATGATCAATGGTATCAAAGGCCTTACTCAGATCCATAAAAACACCTATAACATGCCTTTTATTTGCGAGAGAATCAATTATTTTATCACAAAGTTTAATTAAAGCAAAATCAGTTGAATGATTTTTCCTAAATCCAAACTGGTTAGGAATCAAAATATCGTGCTTATTCAAAAAAGAAATCAATCTTTTATATACCAATTTCTCAAAAACCTTTGAAATACTTGATAATAATGATATGGGACGATAATTTTGAAGTTTAGATGGGTCATCTTTTTTATGAATCGGTATAACCTTAGCAATTTTTAATAAGTTAGGACAGGAACCAGTAGAAAGAGAAATGTTACATATATGAACCAATGGAGAAACAATAAAGTGTATTATTTGCTTAATGAGATTCATACTTAACCCATCTGGTCCTGATGACTTGCTTGATTTCAGTGATTGAACTATACTAACTACCTCATGAATTGTTGTGGGAGTAAAGAATAATGAATTTTCAGAGGGTTCTAAAAGATATTGAGAAAAATGATTGTTGCCAGCATCTATCTTAGAGGCTAATGTGGGACCTACATTAACAAAGTACTCATTAAAATAATTAGCACATTCATTCAAATTATTAATGTCTTGTCCATTTACATTAATGGTTGTATTAATATGTTTTTTCTTACCCGTAAGATCTTTGATAATATTCCAAAGAGAATTATTGTTTTGAGTACTCGCAATTTTATTTGAGTAATATAATTTGCGGGATAGCCGAATAATAGATGTTAACTTATTTCTATATTTTTTATATTTATCTAAATCAATATGATCTTTACTTCTTAACGCTTTCTTATATAATCGATTGCGAGTCGCAATCGATCGTAAAATGCCCCTCGTTGTCCATGGTTTCTTAGCCTTTTTTTTATTTAACTTAATTCGAACCAAAGGTATATTTTTGTTGTAATAATACATTAATTTATTCAAAAATATATCGTAAGCATCATTTGCAACTACTAAATTAAATACATCAACCCAAGATTCTGATGCTAAGTCCGCCCGAAAGCTCTGAATATTAGCATCCGTTTCTTTCCGAACGTATATATACTTCATGGACTCATGTTTAAATAACTGAATTGTAGGGGAAATAACAAATATGGGGAGGTGATCAGAAATATCAGAATACAATATTCCATTCTGACTGTTTTCATTAAAAATATTCGAAAATATATTGTCTATTAAAGTTTTAGTTATACTAGTTATTCGGGTAGCTTTGTTAATATGTGGATGGAGGGAATAAGAAGAGAGTGTAGTTAGTAACCTAAGTCCAATATTATTCAATGCAGGTGGTAGAAGATTAATATTATAATCCCCCATAAGATATATGATTTTATTTTCACGCGATATTAAAGAAAGACTTTCTTCTAATCTATCTACAAACGTATCAATATTACTATGAGGAGGTCTATACATTACTCCAACAAGTATATTTTTAGCTTGTTTATTTATAATTTCAATAAAAATATATTCGGAGCCATCTACACTTAAGTCAGGTCTCTCTTTAAATGTTAAGGAATCATGAATGTACAAGGCTACTCCACCCCCTCGTCCATAATTACGATCAGCTCTAATTAGTTTATAATTTTCAATATTAAATAAAGGAGGTGATTTATTATTCAACCATGTTTCCGCCATATATATGGCGTTAGTGTCTAGGTGTCGTTTCGAAGGCGTTATTACCTTTGATAATCAAGTATGTAGAGGCAGTCAATTAAGACACCAGTAATTCAACCCAATTATTTGCTCGTTCCATCTTGTATTCGATATTTTTGGAAAACATCTCTCTCGCATGGCGCGTCAATGACCGCAACAGTCGCTGACGCAATCCTGCGTCACCAGAATGGTGCCTCTTATGCAGAGGGTATTCAAGCTTTTCCCCGTAACACAACTTGATCATGTTGATGATATGAATTTACCAAGCTGCCCATCTTGATCAAGCACGACACTAAAACATGATGCAAATACAGCACATTGCTCCAATCAATTAATGGTGTTCATTCTAGTCTCAGTTTCTATCCGCTTTTCTGATTGGACACCTCATCATTTTAGCCATGCACATAGCTCCAGTCAACGCGAGTTTATCATAGTTCCAATTTCCATCACGTTTTCTGATTGGTCAACTCGTATTCTCTCAGACTGGCCATTTGCCTCCTGGCGTATCTCTGACACAGCGTGCTGTCCAACGACGACAGCCAATCACGAACTCGAAAGTTTCTATTCTCGTCCTCATCAACCACACTCTCCAACACTTCGTCTACGGAGTCGTTGGCGTTCTTCTGAAGACCGTTGGCCGTCGTCGCCCGTTTTCGCTGGAGGAACTCCGTCGTTGGTTTGCTGACGCAGACGACGGACGTTTCATCGGCCGGGAGCTGTTTTGCGTTATTAGGATCCGATCTTTCGTGATTGCTGCTTGAAAGTGTTACATGTTCCCGTTGGCCCGGTGTGGCGAATCTAGTTCGTATACGAGTATTTGTGTTGGCGGAATGTCCGTCGTTGGATTGGGGGATGAATCCATTCGTTGGCATCACCCTCTGATCGGCTGTTGATGAACAAAAAAGAAACACAAAAACACAAAAATTAAATATAAAAGATGAAAGAAATGTTATTAAAGAATCACACAGGAGTGAACGTACCCGCCCCCCCCCCCCACGCCCAATTGAAAAAAGTGAAAGAGACGCAGAAAGGGGGAAAGAAACAAAAGATGCTACGACCGCTCTCACATCCTGGAGCCCCTAAAAGGACAGTTTTGTATCCTTGTATTACATCCTCCATTAGTAAGACCGCCACCCCCTCCCGACAAAAAATAGGGCTCTTTTTTATGTCAGGACTCACGGTATGCCAATGAAAAATCTTTAATACAAATATATTATTATATGAAAAAATAATCGTTGGAAAAAAATGAGAGTTAAATTGACGTTCTCGGATCCGGTTGTTAAAACAAAACCGGATTAATATAATGAGTGGAAGTATTAACAACAACAATCTTTTTAATTCATGCCTTTCTGGGATTAATCTTCCAAATATTATTCGACATTGCAATATTTGAGTTGAAATTCGCAGAGATGAAGCCTTGATTCGTCTGGAGGTTATGCGTTATTTACTCAGAAGCTTATATCATCATCAAGATATCCAATAAAGTCTGCTACTTTATTTCTAATCGATGAAAAGGCTATCCGCTTTTGTAACTGCTTCCTCAATCTTCGAACCTTTGACGAAAGTTTCATGAGGGAATCCTTTTGAAAGATAGTATATCATTTTAAAATCGATACCACTTTAACACTTGGGGGATTTCGGGGCTTAGGAGTCTATCGATTGTGCTTCGACAAGGCCGAAACAAGTCGATTCGCTCTTACAATACCAATAACTTTTGGCTTCGATTATTTATTTACCAGGTTCCATCTAATGCCAGGCTTTGTCGATATAAAAAATAGGAAGGACAATAAAAGAGAATAATCACTTAATTCTTATGTCGTATAATGTACTGTCGTGTTGATGACGCACACCCCTATAGCAATGGGATCCACTCTGACACTTGATTCCCACTGTGCGTTTTAGTCTTTGGATATAATTTCGAGAAAGGTATACTATAAATTTCATGACAATCGAACGTGATAGCGTGACATGAGGAAGAATTAGTGGGAGGTGTACAATTGTAGTTTGAAAAAAAGATTTTACGTTCTATATTTATTTTATTGTCTGACGCCATGCGCCGGTGACAATCATTATTACTCCATGGTCGATTTCTGAATTTCATTCCCGGCCCGATCACCATAACCCTAATTCTAAACCTACGAACAGACCAATCACAGCCCAAGCCCTAACATAACCATATCCTGAATGTGTGATGATGTTTGTCCAATTAATCAAAGCTTGATATAAAACCACGTTGCTTAAGGCAAGCCCATGAACTACATTTCAATAAATAGCAAAATAGAAATGGAATATTAAAGAAAGCTCTACAAAAGTGAACAAACATTACAACCAATCATTTACGTTTCATATTTTAATTGTCTGACGCCGTGCGCTGGTGACAATTACTCCGGGAAAAGGGTAATTGAATTAAAATTTGGACAATCACTAACAAAAAGGGTGAAAATTAAGAAATGAGATGCTTTTTGGACTTTGACAAAATAAAGGCCGGAGAAAATGTCACCAAAAGACTTGGGTTACCATTTTCTTAGGCAATGTGGTTGTACCCTGATTTCAAATATATCTATAATGCGTAATCATGAAACGTTTCTCCCTAGTTGGCACACAATAAAGAAGCTGAATTTGGCAATTCTGATTGATCTCGTAATTATAACCAATACTGTGTTGGATCTTCGTATATATGTATATTTATTTTTCTTTTTCAGTTCCAATCGTAAATGGCGGTTGCTCATTCCTCCCGTAATTACATAAAGCATCATATTCTGTTAACATCACCCATATCCAACATGTCAAAAGGAGCACGGAACATCACCCACCCCCCCCCCCCCCCTCCTTATTAATGGATATAATGTATACTTAGCTAATTCGGGTGACGAAAAGACTTTGCGGCATATTTAACATTCATTTCTCAAATAGGACTATATTACGATTTCTCAATGTTTTGGCACATTATACGCCCCGTGTAGTTAAGACGCCTTTATGGTGTTTGATGGCAAATGCTCCAGTAATAGTTGTTCCACACTGAATGTCTAGTTCGGGAGGGTCGATCCTGAACCTAACGCTTTAGGCCTACATATCACCCTAACCTTAAAACATAACAAAATAGATTCGTAACCATAACCCCCAAACCCAGGAAGAAGTGTAAGTGTCGGGTCATGCTTTTAGAACTTACCTCTTAAATATTTTGATCCTCTATGAGTGCTGAACGGTCTTGAAGAAAGAGGGTACGTCTGCCACGAACATGATGAAGCCGCCGAGCTCCGACCTCTCTGCAAATCAGATTTATTCCCTGGCAATGCCGCCAAAACACTACTACCCTCAGCCTTCCGCCAAGAAGACACTCTGGGCAACGTAACACCGTTTCTCATTTGATGTTCATCTTCAAACGGCTGCCACCCGTTGCGACTCGACCCGTGCTCTCTCCTCTTTAGAATCCCTCGGGCTCGGTCGCTGTGCTCGGCTCCTGAGCCAGCAGGAGAACCGTACTTCCCGTTTGTTACGCGCAACCCGCCGTTTTTTCGGTCGGCGTTCAGTGTCTCGCTGTAAGCGTGAATGTCAGCCGTGTTTGCGCGTCGCCGGAGAAAATTCTTCGTCATGACCACGGGAAAGTTCAGAGGGTTGATCATATCGATGCTACGATCGGCAGCAACCGTAGGAACGTCATTTTGGGGTGGCTGCGACTCCTCGGCTGGTTTGCGAACAGCCGAATGTCGCTGAGATGACGGCCCGTTCGCGGTCAATATTCTCGGTGTTGCCGAGGATATATGTCTGTGATTTTGCCTCTCGAAGCGGTGATGAACATCCGTCAGTAGCCGTGGCTCGGATATCGACTTGCGCAGGAGGGGGAGACCGATGTCGTCCCTGGTCGGTTGTGGTCTGTTGGGTTTCATGTCATTGCTGTATGTGACCAGAAATGTGAAAATCATCGTCGTGACCAAACTTCAGCAAACCACGACAAGGTTCTGTGACTTTCAAGCAGACGACGAATCGACTCTGGAACATCATGTATTTCTGTCATGTCCCCTGTACTGTTTTGAGTCGTAAATGCTAATGTCGAATCCACATCACTTCATAAAGTATCCTCTGCAAAAAACAATAAAAACAGATGAAATTATTATAAACACCTTTAGACAATGATGTGAACTCATAATGTCGCTTTGGTCGAAAGGATGTACATTTTATCCTCATGATAATTCACGGTTCAGAATTTTTTTAATCAGAATTGGGAAAAAAAATCCACATCAGCCTAAATCGCAATCTGCTAAGAGTAAATACTAAGGTGTCAAGTGTATAACCTTAGTGTTTGCTTAAACTTGGTTCAGTTACAAAGATAACATTCGTGAACCTGCATATCCATGTAGAAATGTTTAGGCGTGCTGAATACACACCTAACAATCAAATATCAAACAAGATGTTCTATTGATGAAGCTCTTCAGAAGTGGTTAGAGGACTCTCGTGCACTTTGTGTCCCTCATTAGATTCAAGATTTGTAAATCAACAATGCGCAGACACCGAGACGACTTGCTGTGTGATACAGAGATTTCGATTCTTGTTCATGACGACGAGTACATCGCTGGTATAAAAAAAAATAATAATTGCGATTAATATTCATTTCATATTATGGTGTTAAAACTGGTGTTTCGTATTAAACAGTCACGTACAAAGATTTAACTCTACAAAAGAGTTATGGGTGACAAGCCCGGTGACAAGTCTCTAGATTTCAACGTATTAGCGCAACAAAACCCCTTCTCCGGTCGACGCTCCTGAAAAGAATGACGTCATCTCACCTCTTCTGGTGTAAACGGATTTAATAATGCGGTCATGAATCATCGAAAATATGCGACACAATTTGTATGGCCCGGGGTGAGAGCTTGTACCCCTTGTGTAGAATAATGTTCCGCATGCTCGGAAAGATTGTTTGCATCGTCGCCAAGGGAACGCGAGTGGTAAACGGGGTCTGCGTCAATGGATGGGACAGAATCAATACAAAAGGGGAACAAATTTCAATTTTCCCAATTTACAGGGTAGGGTCATGCATATTGACCTTAGTTCTCAGTGGTATACACAATCTACTTCGTATTTAAGTTCTTGTATTAAGGGAGGGGAAGGGGACAGCAATTCCAATAGAAATGGCTAATAGAAACCAAAAACAACAACAACAAACTTTATTAAATTTACAGGTGTATTCTGTGGTTCTAAAATTTGAAAGGGTACAAGAACTCAATGGGGGAATTTCGGGGTACATAAGATTTGCCAGATTGCATTTCAAAAGGAGGGGGATCCCCCCCCCCCTCCCCTTCAGCCGGTCCCTTCCCCCTTCAGCCCATTCTACAACTTGTCACAATAGGCCTACAATTGTACACGCTTTTAACTGTCATAATTTTGTACTTGTATTTGCGATTTCAATATATCAGAATATTTGGCTTTGACAGAGTGATCTTATAAACTCGATGCGCCCAACATGCAAGTAAAATCAGGAAGGAATAAAGGATGGACGCTGTTTATAGTTAACATTTTCAAATAAGTGTTTTAAATAAATTTATTTTGTTACATTTGAAACTTGAACATGAGTGAGCACTGAAATTTAACACTCAAAGAGTCTATGAAAGAAAATTGCAAAAATGGAGCATCTGGTCACTCAAATGCTGAAGACTGAAGAGCATTCGGAAGTTTTCATGTGATAACCACGCAGCCCTCAGACTACAAATGACATCCAGAGCTCGATCCTCTTCATTGTTTCTCATTCTTTGTTTTTATCGTTGAACAGGGGTGTCTTAAAATACAGATGCGCATGTTCATTAACATTTGAATGGTTATACCTGCTTTATTTTCGCAATTTTCTTAATCAGAACGGTTGAATGTATAATTATGTTCCCATCAAAGCGTGAAAGCTCAAAACTTGATCTTAAAATGTTGGTAGAGTATCAGGTTTATTTGGTATAAATTTTATCATATTTTTCTTGATGGTTTATATAAACAATCTTGGACGATAAAGAGTGTCCACTTTCTCTTTTACTGAGTTTAATAAATCCAATTTGTAATAAACAATTCGGATTGGACTATTGGCCTAAGTTAATTTATGAAATAAACAAATAATTACGTATTTATCGATGGGAGATGTGCTAAATCATTTTTTTAAAAGCTTCATTTCATGATAATTATCATCCATGTATTATGGTTACTACTGCTGCTGCTGCTACTACTACTACTATTACTACTACTACTACTACTAATAATAATAATAATAATAATAATAATACATATCTGAATTATTTACTGTATACTCTATGTTGAAATCATTGTTAAATATATAATTTATGTATACATTGTGTTTCATATTGTACTGTTGAGAAGGAAATAAATGTTAATAAATACTAATACAAATATTTCTTCTTCTTCTCTTTATCATGTTGTTTTATTCTTACTCTGCTCCTATATCATTTACTTCCACTATTTTTCCTTCTTATTCTACTCCTCCTCCTCCTCCTTCTACTTCTTCCATAGAGAAGAATCTAGTTATCTTTCTTTTCAATAATTATTATCCTCCTGTTATTTAGCTCCACAATCTCTCACAGCGCATGCTTCCATGCAGTGCCCTAGCATTCTCGTTTTAATTAATTTGCCAACCATTCCTTCTACGACGCAAACAAAATTAATTACTCAAGTTGTTTGAGCGGGGGTGAGTTTTAATCCATTACTGTCTGTTAACAGGTGTTCATTTACAATGTCTGGTGACATTCCTTCGTTGCTTACAAATAAATCAACGTAAATGAGGTACATATAGTACGCCCGACCCTTAATTAGAACTGTTATAAAGTGATACATAGGAGGTGCCGACTACGAGTCGTTTGAACCTTCTTTTTTTTTTCTTCTTTTTTTACTGCTCTAAATATTAAAACTTTAAAATTGTAACCGGCCAAGGACATCCCAACATGGCAGGCTGACACTTTTATGCCTCAGTCACACCGATAAGACCGACATGATACCGAACAAGAAACTACATACTGTACGTTACGACAAAATGGCGAAGAATCAGTCGGTTTTCGGTCGGTTTGACGGTGTGACTGAGGTATTTTACATATTGAATTCAGCCGATGTTACAAGAGTAAACCTACCTATTTGAGAAATTTGGACACTCCTCGAGTCTTTTAAACGTTGATGTAATACTTTTAGAGTGTGGATAGGCGATGACACGGTCGGTTCACAAATTATAAATGTCCCTTTGGCAAGAAAATCAAGTTACGTTTGCCACTCAGTACTCCCCCTTCCCTCCCCAATGAATTTGGGACCCTAAACGACTTTGAAGCTTTCAAAGAAAACAAATAATTGCCAAATATAATGTTTTCAAATTCTATCATTTGATTTAAACGCTTAACATCCCTTCGCATTTTATTCACGCTCGTTACCATATCCGCTTGAAATCTTATCGTACAAATGCATGAATTCAGCACTTATAGTACTCAATCATAATATTTTGACTTTACTTACGGTTATCGTAAAAACATTGGCAGTGGCGATGATATCGTACACACGTTCTGACCCCACTTTACAGCGGTTCTTAAACTGAGTGAGAAAATCGGCATTGAACGTCGAGAAGTATAGAAACAGATGAGTTATTGATATAACTTATAAACTTAACCATGAAACGCGCCTGGTGACTGTTCAAATGGGGTTAAATCTCTACACGTTCCGGCTAAATCCCTTGTGGTATACATGTTCAGATTGTAAATATCTGTCCCACACACGTTCCGGATCATGAGCCGGTGTCATCTCCCGTCAATAAAGATCAAATCATAATAAAAGAAGAATGCGATCCCAAATAAAAGATCTTATCTGTTTGGTAGAGATGCGATAACAACACGTACGCGTCCGTCAAACGACGTTGATCATTTTCATGAAACAGTCGTAAATCCAAGTTCCTATTGAAATGCCTGTTAATATCAATACACGTGAATCAATAGGATGTATGCGAAGTTGTACCTACGATGGTTTCATGAAACAATGCCTGGATTTCCAACACAACGTTGATCGATTGATGGCACCTAAATTGTCATAAAAAGTCATAAACAAAAGTTCAGACAGATGTTTGTTGGTTGGAAAACATTTTGCCTGTCGCGGTGTCGCCTATCTTATCTAGATTAACCGGAAAGCAGTAATGAGTTTGAATGTTTACAGAGTTCTAAATACAACATAAATTTTATATGTGTTTTAAGAAGTGGTTTGTTATTACAACTCCCATCAACCGGACTATCGACTCGATTTAGAAAAGAAAAAAAGGGTCCAGCGTTTCATTTTATTTGATCTTATTGAAAAAATGTCCCTCAATGCAAACCATAAAATAGTATCAAATTATAACCATTAGATTCAAATTGATTGGTTTACTGCCTGTAAATGACCATTAATGAAGTTCAAATAATATGTGCGTGTTCTAAGATAAACATGACTTTATCACGTTATCATGTTATTATCGCGAGGTTTCTCGAACTATCCAAGGAACGATATTGAGCGGCAATATCAACAGATTTAGCATTAATATAACAATTAAATAATGATGAGAAACCTTAAGTTGACTCATTCTTTTCAAAGAATTTAAAAGAATTTATGTTATTGTTTGATTATGTTTAGTCATATTCAATCTGCTTTTTCAAGCGAACTTTTTAATACTGATAATGATCGGTACATTTATATAGCCCAGAAAATAAATACTATATGAATATACTCTATTGTGCTTAATACAAATAAGCATTAACTCAGATTCAATCTATTAAAAGTTCATCACAAACCATCGCAAAAGATCTGCGATTAATCAAATCAAGGCCAATTGCTATACTCTATTATAATAATATAGAAATCATGATCTAATTCATATATGTCACTGTAAAGCTAGCAATAAGGCATTTTTATATTTCGTAGGTTTTTTTTCTTT